ACGCTCGCACACAAACACAGAGGCAGTAAAGACTGCGACCCTCGGGACGAAAAAAGTGCGAAGACCGCGGCTAGACTGTGCACACCAGGAAAACGAGAGGACGACAACGAGGAGAAGGATTGCGTACGCAATTCATAAAAACAGAGGCTCTTCGTAGGCGGGGCAAGACGTGTGTATAGGAAAGAAGGAAAAAAGGAAGGAAGGCCGGCTCTTTGCACGCTCTTTATAATATTACCGACGGCAACAACGACGACACAACGACGACAACGACGACAACAACGATAACAACGACAACAACGACGATAACAACGACGACAAGAACGATCGACAACGACAACAACAACGACAACGACAACGACAACGACAACGACAACGACAACGACAACGACAACGACAACGGCAACGGCAACGGCAACGACGGCGACGACGACGGCGACGGCGACGACGAGGACGACGACGACGACGACGACGACGACGACAACGACAACGACGAAGACGTACGCTACAACAATAACGACCACGACCAGAACGAGCAAAGAAGGAAAAATAGCACTCGCTGATCTCGTGCGGTGAGAGTGACGGAGCTAGCTGCTGTTGCTGCTGCTGCTACTGCTGCTGCTGCTGCTGCTGCCGCCGCCGCCGCCGCTGCTGTTGCTGCTGCCGTAAATTTTGTTTTGTGTCGTCGTGAGTCCGTCCGTCTCCGCGCGCGACGGCCAACATTACGACGATTCACATTCTATGAGCGCTCAGGGCCAAGGGGACCCTGGAGAAGATCTCACGTCCAGGTTTATTTTCTTAAGTCATATTAAGGAGAGCACGCGCGAAGGGATTTGCATATAATTATACATTATATGTGTATATATATATATATATATATATATATATATGCTAGTGCGCCTCCACGCGCTCTCTCCTCCTTTCTCATGCTTCCTTCTAAACTCACGCAATTTTTCACTCTCACTCTCTCTCTCTCTCTCATTCTCTTTCTCTCCTGCCCGCACCTCTCTCATTCTCTCTCCACTATTACTCTCTTTCTCTTTCGCACATCACATACGCATGCATCCTCATAAGCCCTCTTTCTCTCTCTTACAAATGTCTTTCCCGTCGAGTGATAATCGATATTTCGCACGTATGTTTATGTATTTGACTTGCGATGTGTATCGTGACTTTTAAAGACGGATACCAATTCTTTATGTATGTTGTTGCTGCCGCTTTGCGGTAATTAATAATTATGTAACTTTTTTTTTGCTGACTCTCAAGTTAACCTAATGCGAGTTTGATTGAATTTTTTTAAAGAAATATCGACTATATTTCTATTTTACAAAAAAATAGTTATGATTTTATTGATCAACGCATTTTATTAGATATATATTTTTTTGAATCTCCTATATTGTGCCGATTTTAATTACCGTCAGTTTTGTTTACGTTTTCTTTAAATATGCCATATCTACTTGCGATTTTTTCAACATTGCAGCAAAATCGAGGTTATTTTTCTAGTGTTATTGACGTGAAAGAATTATTATCTATTTATACGATTTTCTTCAACTTTTATCGAATCATAATTATTTCGACTTTCCATCTATTACCTTACAGTTTATAATTAGCTCTTTGTCTTTTATGCTTTGTATGTATCTGTGATGTTATTTTTATACCTACTAAGAAATGCCAAAAAACTACCTCTTCGTTGTGATATTATTATGTTACAATGCACTGGATAATTATTGTTGATAGAATGGAGCTTCTATGAATAGATATTTATTCGCAATATTTTTATTTTATAATGAATTATAATTATTATATTATACATCATTACAGGGCAGAATCAGAGACATCTTGTAACGATATGAAACGTGCAGCTGCCAAAAAATTAATTGAGTGCTACTTTTACCAGCTGACCGATGGTTGCGGTAATCGTGATTGTGGCAATCAGTACTGTGCATCTAGTGGAAAAGTATGCCAAACTACAAAGTTGCTTCTTAATTTTCTTATTAAAATCTGATCAAATTGTATTATTAGTGAATTAACTATTCATTAAATTCATTAATAATTCTTACTCTTTAGCTATCTGTAAATTAATTTAAAATCTAACGGCTATATGGAAATTTTGTGTGAGCTCATTATTGACAGTTCATGTTTAATAATGTTACATTAAGCTATTTTAATTGTCACGTTAGATATTATTTTTCAAAGATATTACCCAAGAGTATATTTTCAATGACAAATTTGATATTGATTATATGTATTAGTTTGTCACTTGAATAGTAATATTATGATTATTGATATAAATGATTCAAAGTGGGTTTAAAATTCTAGCTTACGAACCTGACAGCAGATGAAGCAGCCGCTCAAGCTATTAGCTTATTTTCAAAAGATGCAAGATTGTGCGACGGTGTCCATCCAACCAAAGTCGCAAGAACAACCATGGAACCAGGTCCAGCATCTCTAGCCAAAAGTCTACCAAATAAAAATGTTAATCCTACATGCTCTGTAGAAGGTTGGTGACAAAGTTTATCGTTTAAAGCATGTTTAATATATCATTAAAATATATTTTAATTTAGAAATGATGGATAGTAGTTTACCAACTGAACAAAAGAGTTTAAATTTACCTGTTGATTATTCAAGTGAAACCGATGACAAAAGTATAATAATTGATTTTGTGAAATCCACTAACAAAAGTGTGTTATTAATTTATCCTTTGATTTAACTTCTGTTGTAGCATAAATCACAATATTCCTAAAAATTTTAGATTTATCTCAGATATATAAGTCTAAAAATAAACGTCGTAAAGGGTCGGCTTCAACTATTTATAAGAAAAGGCCTTCCAAAAAATCAAACCTATTGGCCATGTTACAAAGAAATTCTGAATTTACCAATAATCAGCATCTTCTAATTAATAAATTAATCCTTTTGGCTTTATATTTAAGATATGTTGATGCAAAACAGATCATCAATGAGTCAAAGTCAAAGACCAAATGAAATTTTTCCTTAAATTAAACTTATTTATTTTCACGATTGTAGAATAAAAATAAAAGTAAAAAGTAGTCAAATTTTGTATTATGTATTATACTAATTTAATAAATATCATAAATGCACTTTGTGTGGTTTTTCATTTAAGGATTTAAATATACAATGATACGTTTCATTTTTAGCAATTATTTTTAAATTTATTTGAAAGATATAGTTGATTTAATTTTAATTTTTAGGAAAGTCAGTGCCATATCTTACCGAAACAAAACTTCTTGATATTATTAGCAAGTGTAAGTCAGAAGGTTCATACTGTCTTCTCATTAGGACATTGGGAGAAGTTTTTTCGTCAGCACAAGCTCTGAGCCAAAGTTTTTTAAAGTCTGAAAAAGATGATTCACCACTCACAGTCTTGCTTGATAGAGCTCCTGCATCTTTGCTGTGTCCTTCGGGAGATTTAAGTAAAGAGGCAGTTAGATCGTTACAAGGCGAAGATAAAGAAGAAGACAGCAGCGATCCTACACCAACAGTTCCTCAGATTGATGACACTAATGTAGATTTACCAGCGGTTCGTCGAACTTTTGCCGCCCTTTGGTCTTTACCAGGTATTGTTAGTCACTTATTATTATTATTATCATTATTATTATTATTATTATCCCTAAATATATTAAAAGTAAAATATAATATTTAATAAGATTGCATTATATTAGTTAACGACAAAAATTATTTTTATCAGGGGAAGCGTTCGAATCTGCATTAGTACATGCTCTAGTCACGTTGGCTGATAATATAGAATTAAATTTGCGAGTATTTAGTGGTAATTCTGAGGATAGCACAGACAGCCTGCTAAATGTATTTTTAATTGTCTTCGAGATCCCTGTTTTGGGAAGCAGTGAATATTTAGAAATGGCTTTGCACATGTTGTGCAAAGCTGCATCTTGTTTACCTATTTCGGATCAAGCCAAACTTGCTTGTATTTGGGCTCGGCATTGTAAAACACGATTGCCAAGTCTACTTCAATCGCTCCAGCAACTTATTACTGTTAAAGTAATGATGTTAAATTGTAGAGTAGTTATGCAACCTAAACGTAGAAAAGCAAATTTAATTGTTTAATATTCTGTTTCCATAATAGGTTATTGGAGGTACATTCACACGAGATTACTGTGTTCAAGATACAGATACTATTACAGCAACAACGAAAGTAATGAAAATTGTGTACTTTGCTAGTATTTTAGCTGGTGAGCTGGATTCACCAGAGCTTGCTCTTGACGAAGATAACGAATCCAATAATACTGAGAAATCTAACCAAAGAGCTTCGACAATTGCTCAGGTAAAATTTTAACAAAATTTTTAACAAGATTAACAGAAAAATGATATTAACAGGGGAGATTTCTCTTAATTATCATTATAATGAGTACAATGAAATTTTTTTCATTAAAGGATCCACTAGCTGTTGAATTAGCAATCTCATCGGTGGATGCTCGTAAACCTCTTATACCGTTTATTGACTTTTATAATGAGCCTTTAAGTGATATTGTTGAAATGGATAAAGATTTTGCCTATTACAAGAGTGAGCAGCCAAAGAAATTTAGTTTTATGAATTATGCGTTCATTCTTACACCTGCTACAAAAACTCTTGGTTTATATTATGACAATCGTATAAGAATGTATAGCGAACGTCGAGTAAGTTTTCTACAAGCAGTAGTTGGACAGCCTACGACTCCATACCTTAGACTGAAGGTAATGGAAAATCACATGCGATGATACGCTTAATACATTATTAATACATTACAATCATAAGATAATAAATTATTCTTCAGGTAAGAAGAGATCACTTAATTGAAGATGCCCTCATTGAATTAGAAGTAGTAGCTATGGAAAATCCTTACGATCTTAAAAAACAACTAGTGGTTGAATTTCAAGGTGAGCAGGGTGTTGACGAAGGTGGAGTTTCTAAAGAATTTTTTCAATTAGTCGTACAAGAAATTTTTAATCCAGATTTTGCTATGTTTACAACACAGGTATTTTAGTACAATACAATCATTTTACCAAGATTCTTTAATAATTAAGCTTTAATTGATAAATCGATGCGATCAAATATTATGAATTTTTAGGAGGATACACAAACGACGTGGTTTAATCCAACATCTTTTGAAAGTGACGCACAATTTACTCTTATAGGCGTAGTTCTTGGATTAGCCATTTACAATAATGTTATATTAGACGTACGTTTTCCAATGGTTGTATATCGTAAGTTATTGGGTAGAAAAGGCAGTTTTCCTGATTTAGAGGATTGGAGTCCAACGCTTTACCGAACCTTATTAGAAATGCTAGAATATACCGGAGATGATATGCAAGATATGTTTATGCAAACTTTTAGAGTAGGTTATAAGTAAGTTCTTCTTAATCTTCATAAATTATCGATACCTGTTGAAATAAAATATTAACGGGGTTTATTCTAATACTTGTCTAGAGACGTATTTGGTTCTTATTTATTCCATGAGCTTAAGGAAAATGGTGATGAAATTTATGTTACGCAAGAAAATAAAAAAGAATTTGTAGATTTGTATGCAGATTTTTTACTCAATAAATCCGTAGAAAGGCAATTTAAAGCATTTAGACGTGGTTTCCAAATGGTGACGGACGAAAGCCCACTAGCTCTATTATTTAGACCAGAAGAAATCGAGCAATTAGTCTGTGGGAGCAAGATTTTCGATTTTGCGGAATTGGAGGCGTCGACGGAATATGAAGGTGGATATACATCAGAGAGCGATACTGTACGTAATTTCTGGCAAGTCGCTCATTCTTTGACCCCTGAATATCAGCGAAGACTTTTGCAATTCACAACTGGTAGTGATAGGGTGCCTGTTGGTGGTTTATCACGTCTTAAAATGGTAATAGCACGCCATGGTCCAGATTCCGATAGGTAATTCATGAATTAGAAGTGAACTTATTATTTAAGGGAATACTAATGAATTGCATTATTTTTAATTGAAATATCAATTTTTTTCGATTACTTTTAGTATTTATTTATGGTTGACATTGTAATTTAACCTATGCTTGAATACATAAAAGTTATTGATATAATGATTTATAGCATTCCCTTAAAGACTTTTAATATTATTTTTATTATTTAATAAGTATTGATGTTCAACGTGGCTTATAATTCATACTTATAATTACAGATTACCAATAGCTCATACCTGTTTTAATGTGTTACTGTTACCAGATTATAGTACAATAGACAAACTACAGGACCGATTATTGAAAGCTATTAATTATTCAAAGGGCTTTGGTATACTTTAAATAATTAAAAGGCGCTATTTTTCATTAGTTACAAGGCATATCAGGAGAAAAATAATTTTGTTAAGCTGTCATTACATGGGTACAAAAGTGTGTAGAAAAGAAAGTGGAGCAATTTGCATCATTAATTTCGTTTCACCAGCGCATAATTCATGGATGTTTTTGGTACTTTTAGTCATTTAGTACGCGTTGTTGGAACGAAATTGAATGTTGTAATTGTTTATTATCATGGAAAGCGGAAACGAATCTCTCACACAAACGCTTTTTCTATTCCATGTTTCATCAGCCTTAGTCACAGATTTTTATTTATTGTGAATGTTATGCTAATTTATAATGTTTCTCTTAACTCTAAAATAATTCAAAATTGACATTTTTTTATAAACGCGTGCTTGTGAGTTGACGATTTAGCATTACAAAATCCATAATTAATTTTTACTTAAGTGTAAAGTGTCGAGAATTTCGTTAGCGACTGTCATTTCGTTATTTATAATGCAATTGAACATGAAATTGGCACATACACTAAAGAAGTTAAAAAAAAATATTTAAAAAGAAAAAAAAAAGAAAAGAAATGACTGTGATGCGAGTATAAATGTCGAGTAATTGCATAATAAACTGTGTACAGAATGTTTTACATATGTACATGTTTTTTTAAGAATTTTTTTAACCTTTAAAATTTTATGCATAATATTAATAATGAAAAATGCGTAATATTAATAATTAAATAAATGCATATTAACATCGTTTCTCTTTTTTTCTTTGTTGCTTTGTATTTGCACATGACGATTTGGCTCTAAATTTATACAAACATTCTATGTATGTAAATATAATTATAATTGTAAACCTTTCATCGGAGTAGATTATTATAGCAACACACAAATTATTTCAAAATATGATCTTAAAATATGAAAAATTAATATGGTACAGGATAAAAACAAAATCTTTATATAAGGAATATTTTAAATGGCTGTACTTTTATTTGTGCTCATTGTATATTCATATTTTGCTGTACATTTAGATAACAAAATTGAAATTATTCAGAAATTTATAATTAACATATCTTTCATCATTTTATTATTCAATGTCATTTTAGTCATGTGACAATAAAAAATCATTGTTATACTACACTAACTTATTTCTTATGCTTTATTAAATATATAAAAATTGTATATTAATATATAGTATGAAAAGATTTTACATATCAAGTTATTAAAATTAAATTTAATAATTCTTTATAAAAATGGAACGCAAAAATATCGACTAATTTATTTCATCAAGAGTAACAAAGTCTTACTGTTTATAAATTGCATAGGATTATTTGATTCAACTGTGTCGTGCCAAAGCGCTTAAAGTAATTGGATGGTTTTGTATATAGATTTATCACAATATTTGTGATTCTTTAAATAATTCTATAATTAATGGACGGATAGCTTTTGTATACAATCAGGCTTCGTTTCTTTAAACTAATAACCTAATGGCAATAATAGCAGTTGCAGTAAGCATAGACAATACAGTTTGAGAAGCGCTATTGCATCTATGATCAAAGTAACATATACACCATGTTACTTCATCGTAAAAATTTCTATAAATATCCAGCTGATGAATACTATTGTTGACATAATGCCCTAATCGGACATCTTTGGCAGCAGGTCTACAGCCTTCGTATTTATCTGCTGGTATATCAGTCCTAAAACCCCTAACAGCACTTAAACATTCTCGAGTAATTACTGTTTCAGCTGAAAATAATTAAATTTATATTATTATGAATATAGCAATCACATTTTTACGTTAATATAACGTACCTCCTTTTCTCTCAATAATTTTAACACATTTGTCGTCATATTCTGGGCACGTTTCTCCCCAGTACCAAAGCCAGTTAAATGGTGTTCCACATCCAGGTTGATTGCTATTGCAACGATAGCAATATAAAGCATCACCTATTTAAAACGTTTTATTACTGATTTAATATTCATGAATAATATTCCACATACGATAGTTATTAAAATCAATTATCTTTTTCGCAACAAGAATTTATACATATTTATTTTATTACTTTTGTACAACAAATCTAATATCATTCGTCGAATCATTTTTTATTTTTTTATAACAATTTTAATATAAGGATAAATAATTTCATTAAAGATATCTATTTGCTTGCGGGCCACGCCCCCTGCATTAAATGTGGTTATGAAAAATTCAAAATTGATATATCACGAATAATGTAGCGAATAATTAACTTGCCTTTTTGTACCAATGTTCCTACGAACAATGAAATACACAATATACTTTTGAACATTTTGCTTAGATAAGCGTCATTTATCATTTACACATAAAACTTTCGTCGAATAAACCTATCTCGTTCTCTCCAGTGCAGTATCTTCTACGGAGTTCAGATCTGTTATTCAAGTAATCCTGCACTCCATCAAATACATAAATACAACAGTCGGTAAAACAGAAATGTATATTATTATGATTATTAAGTGTGTATAATTCTATTGATTGAGTACTACAACATTTATTAAATCCTCATTAATTATATTCGGATTAATGAATTCGGATAGCTTATGTCACGCATTATGTTCTCAATAAAGTTCGTAATATTTTCTTATTTAAATATTGATTAATGAATTGAATATGTCCTTAAAATATAAAATGCTCGAGTGATGTTTTTCGTTGTTGAGAAATTTATTAATAAAATCTTAAGAAATTTTAAATTCAGTTAACGCGAGAGTTAATTATGTATATTAGAATTACTTGGTAATATTGATTTTACGCACAATCGATCATATTACTTATTCAGATTATTTATACTACCGTGATAAATAATAATTGAAATAGATTTGCCTTTACGAGTAATTTTTATTATGATTTACTTTTCTTTCTTTTTTTTTAATATTTTAATCGAAGATAGTTAAATATAATCTATTTTTATTTTCAAAGATATTTATGCTCCTTTATTAAATTAATAAAAATTAAATTTACCACCACGTAATTGTTGAAAGTAAAAATAAAAAACAACAACAACAACAATATAATAGTAGCTATTGTTAATGAAAGGTCGAATATGATTTGTAAAAATTGAAAAATGCAACATGAAATAGAAAAATTAAAAAGGAAAAAGCTATGAGTAACATTCGCTTGTAATGTATGCATATCGTAAATTCTGCATTACATTAATGTACTTGATAGTGCTTAGCTATTATAGAGTAATTACGTATAATTACGCATTGAAACAAAGTTATCGCATCAAAGTAGAAAATTGCGAGTAATGTATGCGATAAGCATTCACATCAAGCACTATAAGCGACTACTCCCAAAGCTTAAGTAAATCAAGCAAACGACGCGTCCATCGTCTAGCTTTATGACAAAATCTCTCGATCCTTATTAAATAGTCATTAGAATCCTCGTTTTCGACTTTCACTTTACTACCGAGATAAAAGGCCCGTTTGCCTACCATTGTGAGCTCTAATTTTCACATCGTAGACCCGCGTAAAGAATTCTTACCGCCATATACTCCATATACCCGCATTGTGCCGCAAGATGAACTTTCTGCTGTTATTCACCCGCATGTGAAGTGCATGTAAGCTTCTCCCATTCACGAGATCTCATCGCTCCTTAAATTATCGGATAATAAACGGAAACCCCACTGGACGTGCCGTCATCGAGAAAGCTAACGAAGCTCGACAGGCCCAGATCCATTGATAAATATCCTGCTTACGTTCTACTGTTGATCGATTAATTTCATAACATTGGCCAGTCGATTCGAGGGATGTTTCTCCGATTACATATTCAATTCTTTGGATGAATGCTACAGGCACCTTTTCTTTTTTCTTTTCTTTTCTTTTTTTTTCTAATGTGCAGAGCAAATTTCCTACACTTATTAACAAGCTGGTTATTTAGTAAATTCTTTGCTGCCGTTTTCCAAAATGTAGCAATCCAATTCCAATCGTTTTAAAAAGTCTTGTCCAAGAATTTTACATATATTGAAAGTTTCAGAGGATTTGCAAGTATTTAGACAAGTATATAGACTTCATTCGAAATCAATTGAACAGATTTGAAAAGTATTTGATACGATGTTAATTTGTGATATTGTCACGTATCGAAAGAACTTTTTTTTTTTTTTTTTTTTTTTTTTTTTTTTTTTTGTAATCTTTTGCCTTTACACTACATACACTTTGTTAGATGTAAATTATTTTCAATTTTCAATAATTTTTTTCTTTTTTTTTTCTTTCGTTCTAATCCACGCGTATTTACATATCTTTTTAAAAATAAAATACATACATTAAGATTGTAAATTGAAAATTTATATTCGCGTACATTTTTATCATTAATAAACATATTTAAACACACACACACACACACAAAAATTATTTACTCGTAATATATTGTATATATCGACATATTGTAATACGTACTAATTAAGTTTATAGAGAAGCTGTTTAATAAAACCGTTAAATATTATGCTGAATTAAATGACTGCGAACACAAAAGCGTAATCTTGTATATTTTTTCATCAGTCAATTGAGTGAAACATCTTCAATTTTATTAATTATCATCCCATTATAAATTTATAATTATTAATATATTTATTATTATATATATTTATGAGATGTATAAATTTTTACAACCATTCAACTAAACAATAATTTATTGTAAACTTAATAAAATAATTTTGTCTACTTACACTTTTTGTCAGCGAAGTTGGCGTATTTTTATCATTTGATGTGTGCATGTATGTACGTACATATATTTTAATGTCAGCTGTAATTATTGGCAACGCGATCACAAATACGTCCGTATAGAAATTTTAGCACAAATTTATAAAAGTGAATCTGAAAGAATTTCTACAATTTATAATTGCTCATCTGGAATCTAAATGCAAGAATGTAAATTCAACTACGTCGTTGTTTTGGTAAATCTAATTATATTTACAGTTAATATATATATATATATATATATATATATATATATATTTAATCGAGACTATAAATTTTTCAGTCCTTTTTACTGTTTCTTTTGTCTTTTAAAATTAAGTACAAAATTCGTCATTTAGTACTTTCCTTATAGTATCGTTTACGTAATAAATATTAAATATCTCAATGCTACTTTGGCAACAGTATTGTGTAATTTCTTCATTTCATCTAATTGATTAATATCTATCAATAGCCATATGAATAGTGCTACCTCTACATTTTAATAAAGCATTGATCGCGGTTTAATGGACTGAAATAATGGCGCTTATCACAGAATATGGAGGAAAATATTTAATTTTAACTACATACAAAGTAACAGATTTTTTTGTGTACCTACTTTAGAGATAAGATGACCTTGCATTCATCGTCACGTTTTATACATTAAACGAATGTTTTAGTGTTTGTAGAAACTATATTCTATTAAAATACAAGATTAAAATTTTAATTTTCAATTTTTATTATCTTATGTTTTTTTAATATTTTGTAAAGTAATCGTAAATTTGACTCGCGTATTTATATTGTCTAATAAGGTGAGTGCCAGTGATAGGGATCCTGTGTTTTTGTTAACATTTTAGTTCTAAAACATACGTTCTCCAATAGCAAAATATTTAAAACAAAAAACCTTCGTATTTATTTAATTGGTAATTTATTTAAATAATAGAGAATAAAAACCTACACGCCAATCGAATAAGAGTAATGTTCGTTTGAGCTGCGATTATTACAAAAAAAAAACAATTGATTATTTTTAATTTAAGTTTAGAGAAGAAACTAATATTTAATGCATAAACACGAGCAAGTTATATTATATGTTAAAATGAAGCTTACGGTAATTTGTACATTCAAGTACAATATAATAAATGTAAAGAATTTATATAATAACAAATATGGGTAAGTGCATATACAATTTTGAAGACCTTAAATTAAGCTATTTGTTTTATTTTGTTTTTTACATGATATACAATACACGCAAATTGATTTTTTAATCATTAGTTCTTACAGCTACAATAACGATAATATTATTTACTTTTATTAGAATTATTTATACAAATTTAATGTATAATAATTTTTCAAATTACAACATCGAAAAGAAGGTAACACGTGAACGTTATTATTTTATGTAATAAAATTCTTTCCCGATCACATAGGAATTACAAATTTATGTTGTAAAATTCTCTTTTTGAAATGAGATATGTAAGCGTGATGATTTGAAAAAGTTTTATACTTATTTAAACCGTATTAATTTAGGAAAAGTAAATAACATTATAATGCTTATTACCAGTTTTATTTATTTTTTTTTTAATTTTCAAAGAAAAATGAATCAATTTGTTTTAGAATCTCAAGTATAAGATATTTTTCAATCTATTGCTTTCCTCATTTTATCAAACCACTTTGCTACAGAGCTCTATATTATCAGTTTTAGATTATACAGTTTTCTTTAGAAAAAGTCTATGTGTAACTGATTGAACTGTTGTAAATATTGAAAGAATAACTGAAATGAAGATTATGTTAATTCTTGAAAAAATAAATTTTCTTTCGCTTAGAATACACGCGTGGTTAAGCGAAATGATGTATGAATTTTTATTATTTAACAGAATAGGATTTTCGTGCTTTTCTAATTATCAGACAAAAGGCAAAACACAGAAACGAAAATTTAGATATGTTTTTATCTATTGAAAAGTGAAGGTATAATAGAGAATTGCTTAAGTATAAATTTAACTCTTCCGCTCGTGCAGAGGTGCGATGAACTTTTGTACAATTTGCTATGTCATGAATAAATTATTTTGAGGATTTCATGTGTAATCGGAACACAATATAAATTTACGCACCTGATTCAATTTTGTAGCTACGATAAAATTGTTAATCATTCTTCAAGTATATATATATTGTATGCGTATTGTATAATAAACATCAATAGTATTATATTTAGGCTTATTATTGTTAATTACAATGACACGGAGACGTCGAGTTGGAGAGCTTGAGATAGAGAGAGAGATAGAGAGAGAGAGAGAGAGAGAGAGAGAGAGAGAGAGAGAGAGTGAGAGAGTGAGAGGGAGAGATTGAGTGGGTGGGAGAGAGGTGACCGGGGATAAAAGCAATCACTCTAATTATTTATAAACAGTGGAGAAGCAATTCGCTTATTGCGAGCTCATTTTAAATCGATTGAAAAGTCTCGGCTGCTATTTTGAAAACTCAACAATGTAAACGAAGGAGAGTAGGAGGCACTCGTGCCGGGCGCCGCAATTATGTTGCCAGTAATATTTATCCTCTTCCTCGTGTGCGTTCGCGCGGAAGTAACACGTGATGCGAACCGCTGCTCCTGGGCTCCTAATCGAACATATGCTTCAACGTCGTCTTCCGTCACGGACTACGGGCGTGCAGAAGGTTCAGCAACGCAAGGGAATGCACCGGTACTTTTTCGTGAAGAGGC